AGTGCCCTTCAGCCCAAGCTGCCTGGCAGAAGTTGGAAGCTATCCGAGACACCTTAGTCCCAAAGTTGGACATTCAGAACGATGATTCCTTCTCGCTGGAAATGATGCTTAACAACAAGCTGCCTCTGGCCCAACACAGAAGTTCACACGAGCAAGAGGTGACACCTACCTCTGGTTCAGCCCTGCTTCTTACGTTCACATCCATGATCTCATGGTAGGGGGGTTGGCCAAGCCATCAACAGGTAGATGTGCTGGTGGGGTATGCTGGCACCAGCAGGAGTACAGCCCCACTCAGGGGTGTCTGAAAGACAGTGACCCAGGGAAGTCTTGCCAGAAATTATCCACCAGGTGACAGGAGTAAGAATAGGTGACAGTCCCGGCTGTGCTGGGACTACTGGGAAGCAGCAAATGGTTGGCAAGTTGGTAAGGGCCATGAAAGGAATAAAATGGGGCCTGGCAGCATGGCCTAGCAGCTAAAGTCCTCGCCTTGAATGCGCCGGATCCCATATGGGTGCTGGTTCTAATCCCGGCAGCTCCACTTCCCATCCAGCTCCCTGCTTGTGGCCTAGGAAAGCAGTCAAGGATGGCCCAATGCTTTGGGACCCTGCACCTGTATGGGAGACCTGGAAAGAAGTTCCTGGCTCCTGGCTTTGGATTGGCACAGCACTGGTCATTGCGCTCACTTGGGGAGTGAATCATCAAATGGGAGATCTTCCTCTCTATCTCTCCTCCTCTCTGTATATCTGACTTTGTAATTTAAAAAAAAAAAAAAGGAATAAAACGGAAATGCTGGCACAAAGAAGGCCTGGGAAAGAGCTCAACATATGACAGGCTCCGTCTGCCTGATCCAAGAATGGCATCTCCATAACATTGGTCCCCTGGGCACCTCACCTGCTCACCTAATCCCAGCCCTGGCAGATAAAGCCATGCAAACATTGCCAATCCTTGGACCTCACATTGATGCCCATCACAAGCACTCATCACGAAGTGGACAGTGAACAGCTAGTTGGTCAGGATGGCTCACCCAGGGACATCAGCCAGGCCCTGTGTTCAGCCAGCAGTAATCCCAGCACTGGCACAACAAGCCGATACACGTGATGGACTTGATGGCAAGATGCAGGCCTTGTGTGGGCAGGAGGGCATAGTCATGTTCATGCCGAGATGGACAACTACCTGTGGCCATAAGCTGACCTGCAGCCCTGCACTAAGACTATTCCTTGGTGAGGCCAGCACACACCCACCCTTATGGTGGCCAGGTGTAGTGCACCATCAGACCCCTTTCTATTCAAAGAGGTAGTGACCTATTCCCCCCCCCCCCCAGAGTCATTTCAGACCCCAGCAGGATGACCCTCACACTTCCAGAACAACGTAAGGGGAGCAAGGGGCTTGTAACCCAGGATCAGTCACAGCTGATAGAATGAGAGGACTCAGGGGCCCGGCGCGGTGGCGCAAGTGGCTAAAGGTCCTCGCCTTGCACGCCCAGGATCCCATATGGGCGCCGGTTCTAATCCCGGCAGCCCCGCTTCCCTTCCAGCTCCCGGGGTGGCCCGGGAAAGCAGTCGAGGACGGCCCAAAGCTTTGGGAACCTGCACCCATGTGGGAGACCCGGAAGAGGCTCAAAGCTTTGGGAACCTGCACCCATGTGGGAGACCCGGAAGAGGCTCCTGGCCTTGGATTGGCATAGTATCGGCCCGTTGCGCTCACTTGGGGAGTGAATCATCGGACGGAAGATCTTCCTCTCTGTCTCTCCTCTCTGTATATCCGCCTTTCCAATAAAGAAAAAAAAAAAAAAAAAAAAAGAATGAGAGGACTCAGGCGGCCCTGTGCAGGGAACAATCCCATGTAGCGTGCAATCCCTCCACTACAGGAACGCATACCTCCAACCAATGATGCCTGTGTGGCATTGCATCCCTTTAAACTAGGATACCCAGATCTGGGTGCTGAGTCCTGGATTGAAGATAAACCGCACTCACCATCACACCCAATGATGTCTTCCCTGCATGCGCACTTGCCTGCATCCCAGCATTGGCATCTTCCAGACTGGAAGCCATTAGTAAGCAGTGGCTGACAAAGTAATAACTCCACTAAGCCATAGCAGAGAGGATCGCTTGCCCACACAGGTAAAAGAAGGTAGAAGAGGGAAGGCCCCACACTGGCGGGGATGGCTTACCCAGCAGGGACTGGGAAAAGAATGTCTTGTGCTCAGGGACCGTCTGGGGCACCTCTCAGTAGCCTCTTGCCTCTGGATGACTGGTGACAGTCAAGGATGACTCATCACCAAAAACAGCATGGCTGCCAGGAGTCTGCAGCTTGAAGAACAGAGGTCTGCATCAGCCCATGATGGAAATGACCCAAACCAGAGGAAGTCTACCTGACGGGGAGCACCTAGGGCCTTGCACCTGCCTGAAAAAGGACCTTGTTTGGAAGGGAGCAGCCAGGACTTGAACCTGCATCCATATGGGATACTGGTGCTGTAGGTGAAAGCTTGGCTGATTATGTCACAGGGCCAGCCCCCTACCCTCTTGGCTCTTGACAAGAAGAGTGTATGGAGACAGGCTTTGTGGCTTAAGCTGGCACTTGGGATGTACATCCCATATTAGAATGCCAGTTTGAGTCCCAGGGCTTTGCTTCCATTCCAGCTTCCTGCTAATGTGTCCTGGGAGACAGCAGGTGATGGCTCAAGTGCTTAGGTCCTTACAGCCCCTCCAGATCCAGGCTCCTGACTTCAGTCTAGGTAGGATCTGGCTGTTGTGGACATTTGGGGAGTAAACTAATGTATGGACAATCCAAATCTATCTGTCTGTCATTATATCTATCTATTTATCTATTTATCTATCTCCATGTTTTCCAAGTAGATGAAAAAATGAATAAATAAACATTAAAAAGAAAAACAAAAAGAGAAGGGCCAGCATATTGGCTTATCCCCATATGAACATTGGCTGAAGTTTTACCTGCTCCATTTCCAATACAGCTCTCTGCTAATGAGCTAGGGAAGTAGTTAAAAATGGGGCCCGGCACCGTGGCCTAGCGGCTAAAGTCCTCACCTTGAATGCCCCGCGATCCCATATGGGTGCCGGTTCTAATCCTGGCAGATCCACTTCCCATCCAGCTCCCTGCTTGTGGCCTGGGAAAGCAGTCGAGGACGGCCCAAAGCTTTGGGACCCTGCACTCGCTTGGGAGACCCGGAAGAAGTACTTGGCTCCTGGCTTTGGATCGGCACAGCACCAGCCGTTGCGGTCACTTGGGGGGTAAATCATCGGACGGAAGATCTTCCTCTCTGTATATTTGACTTTGTAATAAAAATAAATAAATCTTTAAAAAGAAAAAAAAAAAGAAAGAAAATAGCTAAAAATGGTCCACGCACTTGGGTCCCACATGGGAGACCCAGACGGCTCTGGTCTGACCTAGCCATTGCAATCATTTGGGGACTGAATTGTATTTCCATAACTTTGCCTTTCAAATAAAAATTATTAAGTCTTTTAAAAACAGAAAATAGTATGTGGGCCCTAGTTTTTGACCTAACTTATATGGGAAATTATTAGATTTATTTATGTATTTATTTACATTTTTTGTTAAGGCAGATTTACAGAGAGGAGATACAGAGAGAAAGATCCTCCACCTGCTGACTCACTCCTCAAGTGGCTACAACAACTGAGCTGAGCCAATCTGAAACCAGGAGCCTCTTCCGCATCTCCCAGGTGGGTGCAAGATCCCAAACCTTTGGGTTGTCCTCTACTGCTTTCCCAGGTCACACGTAGAGAGCTAGATTGGGAAGTGGAGCAGTCAAGACATGAACCAGCACCTGATGGGCTATTGGTATTTGCAAAGTGAGCCCAACACGTTGGGCTCATATATGGGATATTATAAAAGGAAGCACAGTTTCTGGTCCCAGTTCTGCCACCGATTTCTGCAACACCAAAAGACCATGACCAAGGTACTTAACTTTACCACATGTAAGTTTGCCTCCTGGGTAGTGGGAATGATGTTCCTGCTTCCCTCTCCAGTTTGTGAGGATAGATGAGAGACAAATTGGGTTGGTCCTGTGGTGCAGTCAGGAGCATACAGGACCCCTGGAATTTCAAGACCAGAGAATGATCTAATCAACAACTGTGAGTACTGCTGCTGCTGCTGCTGCTGCTGACATGACCTGCTGACTCCTCCAAGATGACCTGGTTTTGCCCTAATCCAGCACCATTATCTACCCAAGAAGGGAAGCCAGGCTTCCCCTTCTCAGTTCTGGGGATGTGACATAGTAGGTTAGATCTCCATTTGTGGTGCTGGCATCTCCCGTGGACACTGGTTTGAGTCCTATCTGTTCCACTTCGACTTCAGCTTGCTGCTAATGGCCTAGGAAAGCAGCAGAGATGGCCCAGGTCCTTGGAACCCTGCACCCATATGGGAGACATGGAAGAAGCTCCTGGCTCCTGATCAGCCCAGTTCTGGCCATTGCCACTATTTGGGGAGTGAATCAGCAAATGGAAGATCTGTCTCTCTGTCTCTCCTACTCTCTCTCTGTAGTTCTGCCTTTCTAATAAAAATAAATAAGTTTTTAAAAAATGTCTTCTGATGCACATGCTTCCCACTGCAGACCCTCTCTCCCCTGTCTCCCGGAAGCAAAGTCCTAAGCATCCCTCTGTGAAAAGCCCCTGGGGCACGTGATGGCACAGGTAACATCCCCCATCCCCACTGCTTGAACCAGATCAAGAGCCGAGCTGAGAGACATCACAGGAAGAAAATTAGAAGTCGAGATGAAGAGAGAAACAAAGAGAAAACACCCCTTGTCTGGGCTGAGGCAGCCAGGGCAAAATGAGGAGGCATGAAGCCCAGCCTCCCCCGCCAGAACCTCCCAGCACGTCACCACCTGAGAGGTGACACACACAGCAGCCCCAGCAAGCCACCACACTACCCTCAGCAGCCCAGCTTCCGGGGGCGGGACACCTGTCTTCGGGCTTTCCGTGACGTGTGCCTTCTGCCAGGGCGCAGGCTGTGGGTGAGGCGACATTTCCTGTCCCGGGGGACGCGGGGTGGGGGCAGAGATGAGTTGCTGAGTATGCAACACCTCTGGCGAGCACAGACACAGGCCCTACTTGGGGGGCCCGTTGTAAGCTGACCCCATGGAGTTGCCCCTGGCCCAGATATGCCCCCCAGGTAAGTGTGAAGTTCAAGAATGGGGCTCACACAGGGCGGGTGAGGGGGGACATCAACATCGCCATGGCCCTTGTTCTCTCTCCTTAGCCTACACCCTCACCTCAGGGGGAAGGAAGCTTAGACAACAAGGAGGTAGAAGAGAATAGAACTCCCAGACTGGGCCAAGGGAACCAAGGCAGATCAAGAGGGGTGGGGGTTAGGATGTTTCTGCTGGGAGGGTCCAGGCAAAGGCAGCAGGGTTTGCTGAATGCTTCTCAGATGCAAAAGGATGAGCTGGTAGACAAGGATACCAGGCCCACAGAGGGGCTTGCTGAGAAGGAGACTCCAGCCTTGTCCCCAGCCCCTCCCTCCAGGCACCCCACTTTCCCAGCGAACCCCTGTCAGCTCCTCAGGGTCCCCTTGGGTTCCTTACACCTCATTGCTGAGAGAACCCCCTGCTGTCCCTCCTACTGTTCTGCTGTCCCCACCCCGTCCCCACCACTGTCCCTGTCCTCCAGGCCCCTGGCTGGAGGTTGGTAGGATTCCTCTGAGTGTGGGAGAGAGGTGTGGGAAGCAGGGAGAGAGACATAATAGCCTCCCTCTGCCCCATGTTCTCCCTACTCTTTCCAAGCAACTCCTTTTGTGTTCACAGAGCCTCATGGAAGTGCCCCTGCCCCAGCATTCAGCACGTCCCAGACCACGGACTTGACCCACAGGAGCTGCCAGGGCCCAGGTTTGCTCTCCAGGCCCAGACTCCAGGTTCCACTGGGTGAGGAAGTCCAGCCCAGCACCCCCAGAACCTCAGCTGTGCAGACAGAGGTGAGTGGGAACCTGGGGGTGGGCATCCAGCTCCCTCATCAGGCCTACCCACCCACACTGAGCACTTGCAAACAGACAAGGTGACCTAGAGGGAAAGCTGCAGCAAAGCATAGCTGCCAACAGGTAGAGAAAGAGAGGCAGTACCCCCTTCCCCTGCCAGGCTGCCCCCTCAGCTCCTTGCTGCTTCTCTACTTTCGGAGAAGCCTGATCGAGCCCATGGGCGGCCCCATGCAGAGTCCTGGGTGGCTGCAGCAGGAGCCTGTGTCTCTGGATTAGCAGCCATCATGGCCAGCATGGCCCTGAGGCCGCCACAGCCCTGCCACCCACACAGTCCTTAGGAGCCCTCCCTGCAATTAGTGGGGTGTCCCTCCTTGTTGTAGTCCCTGGGGTGACTTCCTGTTTTGAGTCCCTTGCTGCCTCTCACTCTTCTGGAGCTCACTGTTCCTAGTGCCCTGGAGACACAGAGGGAAGGTAAGGGCGGGTGTCTGGGCAGAGGGCTGCTGGTGTGACCGGGGCAAGCTGATAGTCTCAGGGTGAGTGTGAATGGGCTCCTGGACAATCACACCCTCCACAATGCATGGTGGGGTAAGGAAGAGGGCAACCGCTTGCTTGGGGGCAGGGGAAGGTCCCTCCGTGGCTGCATCTCCTCTTTGCTCCCTTCTGTCCAGGCATCGCCCCAGGCCCTGGAAGCTGCCTCCATGATGAGGCCAGCAGAGAGAGCCGAGGAGGTCCCTGGTGGGGAAGGAGGTCAGGCTCTACAGGCTGAGATCCGGGCTTGGTTCCAGCGGACCCAGGCACCCTGGCTCCTGGAGGACGGGGTAGCCCCCGCCTGGTTCCACGGCTTCATCACGCGAAGGTGAGTCACAGAGAAGGAAACTGGCCCGAGAGAGGCACAGGCGCTGAACAGAGGCCCTGTCGGCGTCACGTGACCAGGCATGGGTCGACTGAGGCTACCAACCCCTAGCTCTGGCTCTTGGGGTCTCCCAGCCTTCCACAGAGGCCTCTGTCCTGGGGAGATCACTGGAGAGGTTCCCAGCCCAACCTCCTCCATGCCTCAGTACCCCCTTTCTAGGATCCATCATTCCCTATCTTTCCAGGCTGTCTTTGGAGCATAAGGTCCCTGGTGGCTGCAGGGCAGGGAACCTGGCCCCTGCCCACGCCCAACTGTCCACATTGTCTTCCCTCTATTTGCATTTTCGTTCCTTGCCTAGTGGTTTGTGTCTAGGACTTTTCGAAGGAGAGCCGGGGAGTGGAGGCACAAGGGCGCAGCAAGTGAGTCACAGCAGGGTTCCACCCCCCCTCTCTCCCTCTCTGACACCCTCAGGGAGGCCGAAAGGCTGCTGGAGCCCAAGCCTCAAGGATGCTACCTGGTGCGCTTCAGCGAAAGCGCGGTGACCTTCGTGCTGACTTACAGGTGCTGAGGGCGTGGAAGCGGGGGAGTGGACCCAGGCGGCCTCATCCCTGGAAGGGGACGGAGCGGGGCAGTCAGAAACCCTAGCACTAGGCAGGGAGGAGCCAAAATTGAGAGGCACCAGGTCTGATCCCGAATGGCACCCACCAGGAGCCGGACCTGCTGCCGTCACTTCTTGCTGGCCCAGCTCAGAGACGGACGTCACGTGGTCCTAGGCGAGAACAGCGCTCACGCACGGCTGCAGGACCTATTACGGCACTACACGGTCTGCCCACTCAGCCCCTACGGGGAGACCATCACCAAGCCCCTCGCCCGCCAGGTGCGCCTCCTCCTCTTCCTCCTGACCCAACACCCTGGGACCCAGACACCTGCGAAAGTCTCCTTCCCAGAGCCCAGGCCTGCAGACTCCAACCGTGCTTCCTCTCCCACCCTACAGCTCCCCCACCGCCCTGGGAAGCCCTTGGAGAAAGCAGAGAAAGCAGTGTGCTGGGAAAGAGAGCTGGAGAGACCAGCCTGGCCACACAGGCAGGAGGGCTAGCGAGGAGTGGGTCAGCCTGGCACAGCACACACGTTTTTTTAGGATCTATTCCTTGAGTGTGGATTTGATGTCAGGTGCAGGTAGGCTCTGGGAGTAACAGTTTTCAAATGCATAAAGCTTCCTCTTGGGAAGCAGTTATGATAGGTACCAAGTGTGAGGTGGGCCACCAGGGGTACCCTGAAGCCTGGCAGGGAGTGCCTCCTGAGACAAGTTCAGATGGCTACCAAGTGCCCTGTATTGTTCTGGATTCCAGAAAGACAGCAGTGAGCAAAATATTCTTGTCTTCCAGTAGCTTCTCTTGGAGGAGACAGCAACAAAGCAGATATTCAATAGTACTCAGTGAGTGCAGTGGGGAGCCGAGAAGAGGGGGACAAGGTAGACTGCTTCACACAGGCATTTCAAGAAGGGTCACTCCCAAGGGAACATCTGGACAGAGGCTTGAGTAGAATGAGAGGAGCCATGGTGAGAACTGGAGGAACAACACTGTAGGTGGCAGTAAGAGCAGGTGTACTGGCCCTGAGGTAGCAGGGGCCTGATGTGCGCGGAGTCGCTAACTGAGGAGGAGCAGAATGGCTGAGGGATTGAGAGATGGGAGACAGAAAGAGAATGGGAGGAGGCTCAGAGACTCGCATGGATTTGCAATGTGGTGCCAAGCTAGAGAAGGTTCTGGAGAGTCGCAAGCTGAGGAGCAGCATGGGAGAGGCAAGGAGGAGGCTGCTAGACGAGGGGCCAGAGTGCTGCAGTTCTGCCTCGCACATGGAGTTACCAGGACACTAGTAGGACTACATGGGGAGTGTGCAAAGACAGAGCTGTGGTTGGTAGAGCTGAGCAAAGTTGGAGGAGAATGCCCCATAAGTGGCCAGTGGCTGGCCGCTAGCAGCCAGGAGGCTGGAGATAAATGCTGGGCAGTTGTCAGCAGTGGGTAGACAGAGCCTCCAGGGCTGGGGTGCAAGCCACTGAAGTCAGTGTAGATGGAGAAGAAAAGAAGATTCAACATCCAGAGCTCCCAGGAGGGAGAGGAACCTGCAGAGAGCCAAGGAAAGGGAGGAGGGAGAGACGGGGGAAAATCAGGAGAGAGAACCGGGCTGGGGAGGGTGGGCGGGGGGCGGGTGGCGGTAAGGAGCTAGGCAGTCCGGCCTGAGAGAGGCGTGGAGCGAGAGCCAGTAGCACGGTCTTCAGATTGGACCTGGTATCTAAAAGGGAAGATCCCAAGGAATGAGGCAAGAGTGGTTCCATGCAGCTTGACTGGGGCCAACCCAGGCAGAGTCTATGATGGTGAAGAGTGGATATGGAGAACAACATCAGGTGGGGAAGGCAATGTAGGACCAGGAAGGAACCAGACTGGTGTGGGATTGGAGGTGCAGGAGGTGGGTGCAGGGGGCTGCTCTCCTCCCAGAAAGAATGGCTTGCAGGGGCAGGGAGGGAGTAGCAGGAGAGGAAAGGCTGATTTGGACTCATGGGCCCGCAGTACACCTCCCAATGGAGGCTGCTGGTTTGCAGGAGCCTGAGAACAGCTTTAGCCTACCAAGAAGCGCCATGTCTGGGGCTAAGGCTGAGCACAACTCCTGGGGGAAGAAGAGGGGAAGTTCCTATCAGTCCACATGCATTCTGCTCACATCTTCAGAAATAAACATGGGCTCAGCAGGCAGAAAGCTCAGTTCCCATGCTGATCATTTTTGAGAACAGCTGAGGCTGGGATAGGCTGAAGCCGGAAACCAGGAGCTTCATCTGGGTGGCCCATGCAGGTGGCAGGTGGCCCAAGCACTTGGGCCATCTGCTGCTGCTTTCCCAGATGCATTAGCAGGAAGCTGGATGCAAAGTGGAGCAGGCAGAATCAAAATTGGGCCCAATAGGGGATGCCAACCAGACCTTGCAAGTGGCACCTTAACCTGCTACAAATCAACACCTGCCCTCTCTTGTTGCTTTTTTTTTTTTAAGATTTTATTATTTATATTGGAAAGGCAGATTTATAGAAGGATCTTCCATCCACTGGTTCACTCCCCAGGTGGCCACAATGACTAGAGCTGAGCCAAACTGAAGCCAGGAGCTTTTTCCAGGTCTCCCATGTGGTTGCAGGGTCCTAAGGCTTGGAGCTGTCCTCTACTACTTTCCCAGGCCACAAGCAGGGAGTTGGATGGTATGTGGAACAGCCAGGATACAAACTGGCATGTGCAAGGCAAGGATTTTAGCCACTAAGGCATCGTGCTGGGCCCTCTTATTGCATTTTTACAACCTCAAGCACAAGTACAGACTGGGGTGGCCCCATGTTCCAGAAGAAATGTAATAACAGTTGTGGCTTGTGCCCAGAGCTTGCCCCTCCATGCAGCCCCTTAGCCTCTCCTATCACTTCCCCCAGGGACCCCAACTGAGGCCAAATTTTTGTGTCCATCTCACTCTCCTCCATCCTCCACAAAGACGACCTTATGCTGTCCTCCTGGGTTACTTACTTGTCCTCCAGCTCACCACTGCTTCTGGCACTCCTTCCTCCCCAGCAGACTCCTGTGCCAGTAGGACTTTGCCTGAGGACTGAAGAGACAGACTCCACAAGCAAAAGCCAGGATACAAACCCCCAGTATACCCCAATCATCAGACACGCACAGACCCCTGCCCCAACACTGAAGGAGGGGGCTCGGGAGCCGAAGGAGGTACTGGGAAAGGAGCCAGGATTTGGGGTGGGGCAAGAGGGAGGAGGCAGAGCCCGAGCTGGGAAGGATGAGCTCCACCTCAGTTATGTCACCAGGCACTCTCTTCTAGCCCTGCCAGCTGCCCAGGCCCAAGCCTCCTATTCCCGCCAAACCCCAGCCACCCTCAGAAGTCTACACAAGTCCAGCTCCACGGTCTCGTCCAGTCCTACCCCCAAGGCCCACAAATCCCATCTACCACGAGCCTGATGAACCCATAGCCTTCTACGCCATGGGCCAGGGCAGCCCTAGGAAGGCCTCCAGCAATATCTATGAGGAGGTAGAATTGCCGGCTGCCCTGGCTGCTGGACACCCTGCGCTGCGGAAGTGCTGGTCCAGGCCTATCCCTGGAAGTGAGGTGAGTGGGGATGCAGGGGAATGACTTCTGGTCAGCTAGGTCTTGAGCCTTGGTCTGAGGACCAAATGAGCTATGCTGTCAGCAACCTGTTCCAGCCCAGGGGTAGCACCCTCTCCTTGCCCTGTTAGCAGCCCTCTGGTCTCACAGAGGAGAGGCCCTGGGTAAGGTCCCTCATGCTTTCCCTTACTGAAGCCTGCCTTTGGGTCTGTGGCCGTTTTATCCTTCAGACACTCTGTGGTAGCACCTAGGGCTCACCCTCTGCCTTAAGGGCCCTGTCATCTGGAGAAGAGCACTGGGGACCCTGTGTCATCTCAGATGAGCTCAGAGAAGGGTGCAACTCCACCACCATCCTCCATTCCCACACCCCTCCCTGATAGGTCCAAGTGGTATCATACAATGTGCTGAAGCCACTGGATACTCCTAGCCCCTTTCTCTACACCTGCCCCCCTCAGGCCCTTCTTCACCCTCTCCCTCTGCTGCTGTACCCCAGGCACAACTCAGCCCTTGTGCCTGCTCACATTTGCACACACCTCTGCCCATACCTGCTGTCCCCAGTCCGTGTCTTCATCCAGGCTCCTCCACAAGCTCTTGATCCCCTCTCTGGGCCCATGCAATCCCTCAAACCCGACTCAGCCAGCTCTGTTCTCCCCTGACTCCAACCACTCCCTCTCATATTCTGTGTCCTCACTGCTGTTTCTTCAGTCCCCAGCTGTTTAAGCCTGAATCCTAGGGCTTGCTCACTAACCCAAACATCATACCCCCAACCTTTCCACACCCCACTGCTTCTTGCTGGGTTCCTTTTAAATAGCAGCTCTTTCTTCTCCTCCCTTCCTGGACCCCAGAAGCTACTCCCTGTACTTTATGCACACCTGCCCTAACACTGATCACCTAGGACACACACTACCTCCCATCCACTCTCCAGGACAGGTGTTTAGAAAACAATTATTGAGTGAAATGAGAGGAGTTGGACCCTGAAGCCTGTTAGGATCACTCATCTTAGGCCTTGAGCTGCATGCAGCTGGGCCCCGGAGACAGAAGGTAGAGACCTCCAACTGTCATTTTCTCTGCAGAATCCAAGCAGCGGTGGCGGGCAGCAGCAATCTGAGAGCTCTGGGGCTGGACAAGGCCCACCGCCATCCCAGCAGCCCCCATTGCCCTGGAGACATACCCTCCCCCACAACCTTTCTAGGCAGGCGCTTCAGGACCGAGGACCCCTTGGACTTCCTCAGTAGACGGTGAGTCTGAATGGGGGGGCGGGGGAGACAACTCAGAATGTAGTTTGCACGCCTGCCTGTCTCAGGAAATGTGGCTGGCACAAAGCAGGGGCGGGTAAAGCTGGAAAGGACCTCACCCTCATCTATCGCGAGGGTGGCAAAGAGGTGTCAGCTCGCATGCCAACACCAATCCATTGGTCGTGGCTGCCTAGAGCGCTTGCCTTGGAAAGGATATTAAGGTCATGTCTGAACTCAGCAGAAAAGAGCACCATGATTGATTAGTGATGTCTGTCCTGGAAGAGGGAGGGAGGAGGAACAGTAGCACTTCATTTACCCTCGGTGAGATCAAGTGAGACTACCTTTGAAGGCAGATCAGGAAACAAAAACAGATAGGGATAGGCTGGTGATGTCCCCAAGGTCAAAGGCTGGAACCCAGCTCTCCTGATCACCCCCTTGAGTGCTATGTTCTTACCCCATATCCACCAACTCTCCTCAACAGGGAACGTCAGAGAATTTCTCAGGCAGGTAATCCAGCTTTGTAGAACGTTGTGGCACCGAGGCCTGGGTGTTGAGTCCCCCTCCTCCAAGGGACCAATCTATCCCACCCTACCACCAAAGAAGCCTGGAAGTTGGAGAAGCAGCTAAGGGGTCTGCTTCCTCCTGGAACACTGACTCTCCGCCCCCTGCCCCCGAGAGTCCCCAAGAACCGAGCGGCTCAGCGTTCAGCCGTCCTCTGAGGCGGCCAGGAAGTGTGTTAGGAGAGCTTTGCTGGCTCCCACAGCCCCATTTCTCCTCTTGGAGTCTTATTTCCTTGGCCCCTCTGAGCCTTTGAGTCTGGGCTCTGGTCCAATGCTGCTGTTGTCTGAGGAATGGTTTGGTGAGAACAGATGTTGGAACTTGTTTGTTGATTCTTGTCTGGCTAATAAATCATCGCCAACAACCTCCGCCCACAGGGAGCCAAGGCCTCCCAGCTCCTTCTGTCTCAGTCTCTGCCTCTCTTCTCTTTTTCTCATCCCCTGGAAAGCAAATGCTTGAACCACCACTGCAGTGGGGACAGAGGGTCTGGGGATGGAGAGGTCACAAGGTCTGTTGGCTGGGTTCTAGGCTGTTCCAAAACAAGAGACACAACTTTTCTCTGTCAAAAAGTCTGTGCCCAGCTGGACTGGACTGAGCTGAGCCTGTGGCCTGGGCCAGGGGCAGCTGCACCAGCTGAGGGCACTGGTGAAGAAAGTGGAGCGGGGAGGGAATAGACAAGGCTGTCCTCCCCTTACCCTCCTCCCAAACCCTCTGCCAAGTGCAAGGCTGGGGAACAGATGGCATGGGGAGCCTCTTGGAGTGCAGGAGTCCCTCCACAGGACCCCCTGTCCTGCTTCCATCCCTTTGTAATACCTCCATCCTTCCCTGCCCCTGCCCACCTCCAGGCAAGCTCCCGTTCCAGCTCCAACCCCCTATAAGCATCTGCCCTGGTTGGGACTGAGGGACGGGGCTTTCCAAGGCAGTAGGGTGGGGTCTGCCCCTGGATGGCCCCTAGGGCTGGGTGGAGCCCACCCCAAAAACTACTCAGGCCTGTTCATGGTGGGCCCCATCTGGGCAGCTTTTTCCATAAAGCCATCCCCACAGGCCAGGGGCCCTGTCCTTCCCAGAGGCCTGGAAACCTTCCAGACCCTTCCCTCCAGCCACATTGGACCCTGGACCTGGCTTGCTATCACCTGCACCCCACCCAGGCAGCCTAGGACAGCTGGGTGACAGCCAGATTCCCTCCTTTCTGCTCCAGTGCTCATCGACTGGAGGAGCAATATGTCTGCTGAATCAAGAGTTGCGGGTTCCACTTCCTTTGTCCTTCGGTCCAGAAGCCTCTAGGAGGGCAGGGGGAAGCAGATGGCCTTGCTAAGATGGGGAGGAGACAGAATGTGTTAAGAATCACCTAATGGTGCATTCTTCCCAGCAGAGAAGACAAGGCTAAGAGGTGCTTCTTGGTGGCACAAATGATGGGAATGGGAACTGACTTGGGCGAGTGTGGGGAGGAGGCCAGAAGTGTCCTGGCAGCCACTTGCTCTTTGTGGACAGCAAAGCCCAGGCTGGGGCCAAGCTCCCCTGCCCACCCTGTTCTTCAGCCTGGGCTGGACACACCAAAGCCACAACAGACAACAGGATGCCATCAAGCACTGTGGACACTTCCACTAGGGGACTCTTTCTGTGCCACTGCACCCAGCATTCTATATCAAAGGGAACACAGACCTCTTTATCTGCACGGGAGGCCATGCAAGCAAAGAACTTAGGGCTGACTGGGCCAGAAAGGATGTGGAGACACTCTGTAACAGACCTTAGGGTCAACTCAGGAGGGAATCAGTCTAGAGACGGAAGGTGACAGGAAGCTGGAGGTGGAATTTATTTATTTGAAAGGCAGTTAATCTTCCAATTAAAACAGATCTTTTTATAAATGGGGGAGGGGCGGGCCCAGGGCAATGACCTAGTGGCTAAATCTTCGCCTTGCAAACACTGGGATCCCATATGGGCACCAATTCGTGTCCTGGCCACTCTACTTCCCATCCAGCTCCCTTCTTATGACCTGAGAAAGAGCAAAGGATGGCCCAAAACCTTGGGACTCTGCACCCACATGGGAGACCCAGAAGAAGCTCCTGGTTCCTGACTTCTGATCAGCTCAGCTCCAGCTGTTGCAGCCATCTGGGGAGTAAACTAGTGGATGGAAGCTATTTCTGTCTCTCCTCTCTGTAAATCTGCCTTTTCAATGAAAAGTAAATCCATCTTTTTAAAAACTTGAGTGACTGAGATGGGGAGAGACTTCCTTCCATCTGTCTGTTTACTCCCCAAATGCCTTCAACAGTCAGAACTGGGCCAGACTGAAGCCAGGAGCCAGGAACTGCATCCAGGCCTCTCACATGACCCATCCCCTGCTGCCTCCCAGGCATGTTAGGAAGAAACTGGATTGGCAGTGTGCAACAACCAAGACTCAAGATACTCCAGTATGGGAGGTGGGCATCCCAAGCGCTAGCATCACCTGCTGCACCCCAACGTCTTCCCTAAGGACCTGATCTTGCCATCCCAGCCAAGGGTTCCTCCTGATACATGGGAAAAGGATGAAGTCCCAGTGCCGCCAAGGGTTCCAGCTGCTGTCCAACCCTGAAGACCTCGGGGGTGGAAATTCCCTTCCCCTCCCAACCTAGGGCACGCTGCCCTGGGCTGCTGCCCTCAATTCCATGTGGAGGCCAGTACATACAGGCAGACCTCAGAAGGGAGGACAAACTGAGCAACTTGTACTGGGGAAGGGCACTGAGCAATTATGCTGAGCAGGGTTCCCCTACCTCCAGCCAGCCTCCACCCCTTGCCAGGATGTGGAGGGCACTTCCTAGCTAACAGCTCTCCCATGGGGTGTCCCCACCCCTCCAACCAGGGCCTCTGTGGCTCATCCCACCTGGAGACCTGCGATAGGAGTCTTAACCGCACCCACCCCTTAGACACCATGTGACAGACCTGTGAACAGGAAGCACAGCCCAAGATACTCCACAAAGCCTCTTAGGAAAGAGCTGTGGGCCGGTCCTCCTCTCAGAACTGACCCTGGAGGGAGGAGTGAAACCCACCCTGATCACTCATGAATCTTCTCATTTCCCCTGCGCCTCCGAACATCCTGCAGATACCAGTATTAAGGTCCACAGTCCAGCTGGGCTGCAGCACGAGGCCCAGCTCTCCCTGGGGGTTGGCAGCATTGGGGGAAGTGACAGGAACGCCCTCAGGATGGCAACTCTGCCATCTGCTTGCCATCAGCTCCTCCCCCTGCAGTCCTGGCCAGGGCCATACTGCATACTTGCCTAGCCGTGGCCCCACCTGTCTCCCACAACCACATGTCTCAACCTCTAAGCCAAGCCTTCGCACCTTTCAGCCCTTTGGCTGTTGCTGCCAGCCACATTTTGTCTCCCTTATCCCTTCTCGTCTTTCTTCCTGTTCATTCCTGTTCCCTCCAGGAAGTCCTCCCAAACCAAGGCTGTTCATCTTCTGTCAGTGCTGTCTCCTGGCGACCAGGAGGCCCCATTCATCAACTAAATTACCAGATTTTAGAAGTAAAAAGTGGTTTTCAAAGGGGAGGGAGCAGAAGGCAGGGAGCAATTTAAGACTAACTGGGGAAAACTTGAGAACCAAAGGCAGTGGGAAGCATGAGGAACCCTGGTGATATCACCCCCTCCTGAGTTCTGCCCATTTCCAAGACATTTGGGCTCAGTCTGCCCGCCAGCTCTTGCCTCCCAGGGCTCCAAATATGAGAATGCAGAACTGGTGAACCCCAGAGCATGGCAACTCAGGTGGGAGGGGACATACCAACCGCGCTGCACAGTAAGGCATGTGGTTGACTCAGCATCTCTGAACTCCAGGCCCTGTTGAGCCAACCAAGCCCCTTTCCTCGCTCCCCTGGGGGTTGGGGGGAAGGTACAAGTCCTGGCCTCAGTGGACGGGGTTCATCTCCTGGCTGAGGGCTGGCTGGATGCACGGACTTGGACAACTGCAGCCCAAGTGTCCCTGTGGGATGCAGGAGCCCTGTCTGGCTGCAGCCTGAAGTAGGTCAGATTTCAGATAAGCGGGTGGTTTTCCTGTAAGCAATGAAACCCTTCTCTGTACTTAATGAGAAACAGACTCCTCAACTTACCCCAGCTCACTGATGCGGAAGCACGGTGAGCTCCTCACTCTACCCCTTCCTTCCCACGCAGGTCCCCACCACACCCCTGCTCAAACCGCCCCCCACACCTCCGTCACCAGAACTACCTATCACAATTCCCTCCCATGTCTCTTTCAATGAGACTTGGGTCTCTCCATCTGGTCAACACCTCCTCTAGCTGGGACCCAAGGGCTCTCCTGCAGAAACCACAGCAGCTGCTCTGTACCTCTTGCCCACCCCTGCTGGAGCCTGGTATCCTCAGAAATACCTCAGGGATGGCCTGCCTGCTGGTCTTTGTGACCAGCCCTACCGAGCCCTGTCCTGACAGGAAGCAGTCAGCCATACATCACGGTGCCCTGCAGCTCACTGGAACAATGACTTTGGAACCCAGAAGCCTCCATGGCTTTCTGTCGAGCCCATGAGCCCTATGCTTATGACCACCAGGCTACATACAGAAGAGTTGACTCTGGGTACAACCATGTTCATTAATACTTCCCGGCCCATCAGGTGCAGGGTTAGGCCTCAGAAGGATCGCCTGACTTCCCCCAGTCTCTGGAGCTGCCTGAGCACAGCAATGCTTCCTACACGGAGAGTCATCGGTCTCTCTGAAAGTCATCCTGGCCCGTACTCAATGGCACCCCTCTTCCCCAGGCTCATCAGAGGCCACGAAGCCAGGCTAGATGGTGAGCAGAGGGAGCCAAGCCACGAGGTGCATAGCCCCAGGCGGCTCAGAGAGTGATCTACATACACGGTCAACCCCGTGATCTGGGCACAGGGCAGCCAGTGTCCATCAGACTCAAGATTTTATTTTAACAGACATCCCTGGTTTAAAAAAAAAAAAAAAAGGAGGAAGGGTCACCATCTCACCACACCCATCAAGGGGCAGAACTCCCACCCAAGACCCCAATGCCTTCCTCAAGGCGTGGCTTGAGCCTTTGCCAACTCCAGGACAGAAAGGAGCTGAATTTTCTAACTTGTGGTAAGAAAAACCTATCAAATATGTTCATTCTCGCTGAGGCGAGAGCTGGGTCCTCAGGGAAAGATCCTGGGCTTGGAGCAGCTGGGGTCCCAGAGGTTAAGCTGGGGGCCTGGCCAGCTGGGCTGGCAGGAGGTCCGGGAGTAAGCAGCTCCGGAGCCCTTAGAATCCGTATTTGGCTTGGGTCTGCCGGCGGCTGAGCTTGTTCTCTGACCAGGTGTTCTTCAGCTCCAGCTCCCGCTCCTTCGCCTGCACAAGAAGAAGGGGATGTGAGAGGCACTTCCATGCTGCCCTCCTGGCTCAAAACCTTCTCCTACCCTAACAGTTCTCAGGAAGACAGCAAATCTCTTGCAAAAGACTTGATTTCTCTTATCTACTGAGAAGGATAAGAACTCAGGAAAACAAAGAAAAATCACCTCTTGGGGAAGTTAATGAGGTTTAAGCACAAAAAAGCCTGAGGAACCTGAGGGCATCTGCTGGTAAAATTAAAACTGAAATACTATGGCGGCCAACAGACAAACGAGGTCTAGGACTTGGCGTCTGGAAGCGGAATGGCAGGAAGGGCGAGGACATCCCCACAGCCAAACTGCTGCACTGAGCAGAGGGGCTGAGGGACCCAGGACGTCCAGGTCATCCTGAAGGAAGGAAGAAGTGGTGAAAATCTGGGTGACACTCTAATGACAACTTTAATCCTCCATCTTAGCGGCTCCTGGCTCTGTACTATATCCTGGTATATAGATACCACCCTAGAAAGGGAGTTCCCTAAGTCCCCAAAGTTATCTGCCATCGGCTCACCTGCCCTGGAATTGAAAAAGATCCTGCCTTGAAATCACACCCCAGGGAAGGGTTCCACAGGGCTCCTGTAGAGGACAGAGCCCATGCTGCAGGATGCGGAAGCAAAGCCTGCAGCCACACCCCAAACCCCAAAACCTGCTGCCCAGGCAGGGACCAGGAAAGATCTCATCCAAGTCTGTGACCCTGGCTGCATCTGGCTCTGCAGGCCTCAAAAGGATGCTGTTGAATGACGAGACAAGAAAATGAAGGCTGCCCCGTTATGCCAAGTAAAAACCAAGGACATGCTATTAATCTGAAGAGACCTCTTTTTAGATTATTTGTACTTCCCCATCAAATGTGCTGATGTTCTCCACAAAAGTGGTAAATACAAAAGCAACTTCCTCCCGAGCAAATGTTTTTGCTAAATTGGCTAATCAATCTTTTTAGCCTTTTAAGTTACTGGGGGTGGAGGGAGGAGGGAACTGCTGTTTAAAAGAACCCTAGAATCAACCATGTCCTCCTGAAATCCCATTGTAGTGATCTGAATTCCCACTCCCACAGTTCATTCCTGCCCTGGTCCCCCAAGCCTCTGCAGCAACACAGAGCTCTGCGTAGCAACATCCTGCGGGATACATCCCCCCCTAGTGGCCACACCAAGAACAAGGTTGGATGCCAGACAGCAGGGGCCCCCTGGCAAAACAGGTAGCACTTTCAGAGCCCAGCCTGCATTTTCAGCCTCTCACCTGATGAATCAGATATGTAATCTGGTGTTTCCGCCGCTGCTGGCCTGTAGGCTGCTCACCTTTCTTCTGCAAAGGAGAAAAACAGTGATTTACCCACAGCAAGAAAGGCAGATTTGCTTATGTAAGTCAGCCAGGGTAGCTGGCGATTAAGAAATCAACCTCAGCCGAAATCCTAGGGAGAAGCGTCAACCTGGGGCTGTTTCTATGTCTCTATATTCACAAAAGCTATTTTTATTAAAGCTATTATGCAAAACTCCAAGCTCAGAATACCTGCCTTAAATAGCCTACTGATGTCCCCATCACATTGCAAATACTTGAGGTCAGGGCCAGCGTATTTCAGCCGCACCCCACCACAGCCCCAGCTCTGTCCATAGCAGACCCGACACAGGGTGCTACTGCCTGCAGTGTGTCCAAGGCAGCATAAGTGCCAGGTACAGAGGTCTTCCCCTTCATTTTAGGTCCTCTCACTCCTGCACCACACCCCTCTCAGACCCTCTTCATCTGTCTGTCCTCTCTCCCTAGGAAGGCCAGATGTCTCATCCATCTCCTACCTACCGGTCACCCAACTCTCTCCCATGAGTCTCCTGTGGCTGAAATTCAGAGCCCCCCCACCCCCGCTCCATTTCTAGTACTAGCAGCCCCTGTGCTCAGCAACCTTACGTCACAGCACTCATCTCCCATCTGTCCTCCCCACCCATAACCGCACTGAAGCCCTGACCAAACTTGGACACCAATGATTTATAGCCAAAAGCTGTTCTGCTCTGGGCTTCCACTCTGTGGTTTTTCCTCCACCAGAGCCCTCTCAGATTCGAAGCTTTCCAATCAGTTCCACCAGACTCCCAAAACCCCCTCCAGAGCCACCCTGGCTCTTAGGTAACCATTTGTGCGATCCTCAGGCCTCCACTCTCGCACAGCAGGGGCCACAGCTGTTTCTCAAACACCCAGGCCCATACAGATAGCAAGAAGGAAATGTGGAGCTGGGCACACAGCAAATTCATGTCCCCCACTGCCGTGTTATTCCATGTGGCAGCTACAGACAACATATGTAAGGCACCCAACTCCTCTCCTGGCTGGCGAGCACAGACAACAGCCATTGCTGTGTACCATTGCTCTTAATCCATGGCTAGTCTGCCATGCTCGCCTGAGTGGTTTTTCCAGTAAGCAGAGCTGGATCCGCGTTGACCTAACCACAATGCTGTCCCTGATGACCATCAGCATTCAGTTAAAACAAATGGCTGGGGCTCCAACAGACATCTGTGACCACAGAACAAAGCGAAGCAAAAGAGGGAGCAGGGAGAAGGGAATCAAATCCATGACCTTGGCCTTGCCAGTGCTGGGCATGCATCCAGGGCTTCCCCACGTCCTCCCCGCTATGGCAGACACATCAGTGTCCGTGTCTGCTGTACCCAGTACTGAGTGCTCAGCACTCACCACACTGAGAACGGAGTGAGGCATGGGGTGTGGGGCAGGGAGTGTGAGGGAAGAATGCCCTGAAAAGATGGCAACTGGCTTCAAGGACAAAGGAGGGAAAGGAGAGGAGTGGCAAGCTCAGAGCTGCAGAGGCCCTGCTGCACCACACTCCAAATCCATTCCAAGCCACGCCCATGTACCTCAGATGGGAGAGGGCCCGTGCTGAAGAGAGGGCAAAGTGGTGGGTTCTGACCAGTAGGGCAAGAGCCACCAGAGATCTCCCAGCTGCTCATCTCAGTATTGGACTCTTCCTTCCAGCTGGAAGGCAGCTCAAGGGCAGCCGAGTTCTAGAAGGCAGCCCTCTGAGAGGCTTGGTGCAGACACAGGTAGTAGGGGTACCCTATGTGGTGCAGTGCCCCTAACAATGGGGTATGGGAACAGGACAGGGAGGAAAGTGAATTTTGCTCTGGGGCTTCCCAGCTGGCCTCCCTGTATCCTTTCCTCCCATCATACTTTGCTGAAGGACTTCATGGTCTTCTCCTCAGTCAGTGATTTGGTCATCCACTGCTGGGCACCGCTGAGCTGGTCATCACCTTTGATCTCCACAAAGTTGATTTCCTCCCTCCCCCGGTTCCTCTTGCCCTGTAGCCGCTTAAACTGGAAAAGAAAGGAAAACACAGCAGTCAAAAACTTGAGGCAGGGGATCAGGAAATGCTGCCAAGGACCCAGAGTTCATGGTAGAAGTTTCTGACAGCAACCCAAAGGCCTCTTGATTCTCCTTTGCACAATGCGTCCTGTCACCTGCTCCAACTGTACTCCCTGGATGCTCGGCAGGAGGCTGCTTCTCAGCAGGTCTCTGGGACTCAGCAGCAGGAAGACCAGGAGGTCTTCCCAAACATAAGTGAGTGCAGAGTCAGGAGTACGAACTGTTTTCAAATGACACATAAAGCCTAACCACCTAAACGGATTGCACACAATTTGCAGATTATGAATTGAGGGCAAAAACAAACAAACAAAAAAGGGTGTCTTCCCTAAAAATTGGTTTTTCATCTCCAATTGGTTCTGTATCACCAAATCAGCAAACTCCACACCAGAGCAGAAGTCAGAGAGAGAGAATATGGCTGGGAGCTTGGGTTGCATGTGTACACACATGTGTATATGCACACATGCCTGCCCAACATACTAAGAAACAGCCATTTTTCCCACTCCTTAAAAAAACAAAACAAAACAACAACAAAAAAAACCACTTAGATCATATTGCATGTCAGCCCAAGATGTGCCTGGGAGGGAGTGAGGAGGAAGGGAATAAACCTGGAAAACAGAAAATTGAGGAGCAGACGTTATAGTGCATAGAGTTCAGCTGCCACATGCAATGCGAGCATCCCATGCTAGAGAGCTGGTTTAAATCCCAACTGCTCTACTTCTGATCCGGCTTCCTGTTAATACATCTGGGAAGGCAGCAGATGACATGGGTTCCTGGTACCTAGGTGGGAGACCCAGACAGAGATTTAGGCTCCTGGCTTTGACCTGGCACAACCATAGCTACGGTGGACATTTGAGGAATGAGTCCATGAATGAAAGATCTCTCTATCGCTTTCTCTTTGTCACAGAGCTCCCACTCTGGCCGCTGCACTCCCCAGTGGGAACCCCATCCCAGCCAGGGTGTCCCATTAGCTCCCCAACCAGGCCTGTTCCTAGCCATAGATCATGTGCATGCCAGTGGTTACTCTGACCCAGCTTGGCATAGCCCCTCATCTTGGCCTTTGCCTTAGATGCTGTAGCCTGGCATCCCTGGCTCACACAAACCCGTAGATACAAGAGCCTAGCTCAGCATGACCTGTGCTCCCACCTGATTTCTGTTCTTGCTGGTGAGCTAAGGTTTGCTTGCCCCTGCCCAGTCTGCCCCTTCCATACCCAACCCACACATTAGCCAACGGTTGGAGCTACTTTGCCCAGCTTGCCTGACCCCCAGACCTGGACCATGTGATCGTCAGTGAGAGTTATGACCCACTAGGGGAGTTTCTCAAGTACCCCCACTTGACCAGAGACCTAGATCTCATACATGCCAGTGGGTGTTAGGCCAGTGCCCGTCATAGCCTGCTCCTCCATCTTGGCCTTGTATGAGCTGGTGAACGTTGCGGCCCAGCCCACCCCATACCCTGTTTTAGGATGCACATGCGTGTGCTGTAGCCTGGACCTGCCCAAACTGTTCTCAGTCCCTGTACCTGTGAGTGATGGCAGGTTCCGTGGTATCACCTAGCTCAGTCCATCACCACCCCAAATAATGAGCTAACCAGTGGGACTTGTGATTACACAGGGTTTGGCCCACACATCACCCACAGAATCCACCCCCAGACCTGGTTCTCTCACATGCTGGTTAGTGCCATAGTTCTGCCTAATGTGATCTGTCCCCTGTTCCATCAGTCTGGAAATGGCTGCAGTGTTGGCATAAATGTGGACTGGTCTAGACTCTAGCACCAACTAGTGCCCTGGAGGACCAGGGTAGATGCAGGACGGGTCAGGCAATGTGTGAGCTGTGTCTGGGTGTGGATCAGGCTTGGCTGGGTTGAAACATCCAAAAGTAAGAACCGGAATGAGTTGACGGCCAGTTAGGAAAGGCCACTGTTCTTGCTAGGACAGGGGATGGACTAAGTAGGGCTGGCCCATGGACCCACCAATGTGTGTGAGATCTGACATTGAAAGAAGTTCTTATGGAGGAGCTTGGGAAACTCCTCTGTCAGGACAAGTTCCTGTAGGTGAGTGTAAGAACTACAATATGGAGCAGCCCAGACCAGGCCAGGGAATGGTACCCACTGGCATGCATTTGGCACAGGTCAGGGGCAAACCAGACTGAACCAGTTCACATTACCAGCTGGCAAATCTGAGCACTAGAATTGAGTGTGGGTCAGGCTGGGTTCAGTCGCAAGACACACCAGTACACATTACGGCTTAGACTGAGTGCTAACTGGGCTGGGCTAGGCTGTAACCCCACCAGTGGGAGCTGCAATTGGGGGTTTTCTGGGCCAGGCCACACTATAGCACACTAAAGCACTGAGGCTGAGGCGAGGCAGGCTATGCCAGACTGGGCCACAGCATCCAATCAGCACATGTGAGAAGCAAGCGGGAAAGGGCAAAGCTGGTATGGGAATGTGGAGGGCTCCCCTGCTGGCTCACCACTCCCACTGGAGAGCATGTTTTGGGATGAAGGCAGACCAGATCGGACAGTGCTACAACACCTGTGGGTTTCATGTGAGTTAGATCAGGGAAAAGCCAGGCTGGGCTGACTGTTCTTACTGGTGCAAGCATAAATCAGAATGGGTGAGGGTTGGTTGGGCTTTGCCACGGCATCAGCTAGCAGAGCTGGCACTGGGGGCTAATTCTGTCAGGTTAAACTGCAAAACCATCTGAGAGTACATGATCTGGGAGTGGGATTGGGCCCAGTAGGGAAATAGTGGGCACCTCCCTCTTGGGCTACCACTCCTACTGGAGAGTATGAAAATCAGGCAAGGACTGAAGCAGGCGTGGCTAGACAGAGAGTGCTCCCACCAGCATGTGTGGGCTGGATAGTGGAGCTGCTTGGGTTGAACTAGGCTTCAATGCCCACTAACATGTAGGAGAGCTGAATGGGATGTGGAAGAGATCAGACAAGTTTGCTATACATACTGGCAAGTACAGGAACGAGGGCAGGAGGCGGAATTGGTGGGAGTTATTGTGGGTCGCTCTGACTAGGCTGCAGCTCCCACTGGTTTGCGAGAAGGCAGAATGTGTGGTGGGAAGGATCAGACTGCATTGCAACACCCATTGGTTTGTGTGAAAGACAAGGCTAGGGCCCAGCGTCATGGCCTAGCAGCCAAAGTCCTTGGCTTGAACACACCAGGATCCCACATGGGCGCTGGTTCTAATCACAGCAGTTCCACTTCCCATCCAACTCCTTGCTTGTGGCCTGGGAAAGCAGATAAGGATGACTCAAAGACTTGGGTCCCCCCACCCATGTGGGAGACCTTGGAAGAGGTTCCTGGCTCCTGGCTTCGGAACAGCACAGCAACCACCAGCTCATTGGGGCAACGGACTATGCCAGGCCCTGTACTAGCATGCACACATAAGAATCTGGTCTGGGATCACCTCAGACAAAGTTTCTTTGGGGATCCCTCCAACTGAACTGCTGATCTCAGAACCCAAACCATGAAAAGAAGTGCAGGTTCCATGGTCTGACCATAGAGTGCAAGTGCCAAAGCTGAGCATCCTCAGAGGCTCAGACGGAGTAGTGGATAGCATATCCAGGTGCACGTGGAGGATATGGCAGTCCATCAGAATCTGCACAGGACACCTGGTACCACAACAGAGAACAGAGGACAGAACAAATCAATCAACTACCCCAACCATGTGTTGACAGTAAAAATCTGGGCAAACAGAGACTCTAAGGTGGACTAGGTCAGCCAGTGGATTCTGGAGAGATTTCATCGTGCTTGGAATCACAAGACTAGCAGCAATTTAGAACTATTGAACTATCAAAACCATTTGAGCAGAGCCCTCACAGTATGCCCCACATCGGGGATGTTGGAATGGGTGGGAGGCTGAATGGGGCTTCTCCCTTTATCTCCCCTTTACCCCAGATACAGGAAAAAAAAGGCAATAATGTGGAAACAATGGTCTTTCCCACTTTCCTGCAGCCCTTGACCCTTTGTGCCCTAACCAACTATGTAAAGATTATCAATTTAAAATAATAATTAAAAAAAGAAAAAGTAACTTCTGTGCTGCCCCTGTCCTGGTCTGAACGTTCATGAGGTCCCCTTAGGCTCACTGCACCTACAAGAAACTGGCCAGTGAGCAAGTTCTCAGTTGTCTTCTGGGCTTAGGTCAGAGAGACTCACCCATGGAACTTGCCACACAGGTTATCCAGAGGAGCGGCCAAGCACAGTACCAGGCCCAGGCTCAGGTATGTAAAGGGATGGACACCATTGTGGGCAAAGGTAAGTGGAGTATTCTTTTCTCTGAGTACTCTGTGCAGAGACAGCACCTGGCTCCACTTGCTCCCAACAGGCTGTGACACCTAGCGGTCCTCATACGGCCTGAGCACCGGGGCACACAGCTCGTGTTGGGTCTCTCCTGTGCAGCTCTCCAGAGTCATGGGAAACACAGCTGCCAGGGATCTCCCAAATCCCTTTTTCCACAAGATTCTAGCTAGGTATGCTACCACTCAATAAAAAGCCCTTATTTCCCAGGTCCCCTACAACCAGCTATGGTCATGCAGACTCTAGTCAGCAAGCTGCAAGTGGCTGTGTTCACAGGAACCTTCAGAAAGTCTCCCACAAAGGAACAAAAGGCATCCCTCCCTCTTTTGCACCTCCAAACCTGATGGCTGGAGCTTTAGCTGCTCTTCTAAGTGTAAAGACCACTGCCCAGGGCAAAGCTATGATCACTGACTGATCCCTGACAAGGCTGTCACCTCCCATGGCATTTGTCACCCATCATGCCTGTCTAGCTCCAGTCTTCTCTTACAAAGAAATAAAATAAAACCTTAAAACACCACTATCACGTAGTTTCTAAGGTCTCTGCTGCACAATCGGATCCCAGCTGATACAGCTTATACAAAGATTTGAAACCTGGTGACCATGTGTGATGAGGGTGGACTTACTGCTTCGTCATCAATGAAGGAGGCATCAGGGGCGATTTCCTGGGGGGGGACCATGGCCGGGTCCTGTGCAGGATAGTAGGCCCCACTGTAGTAATCCTGTAGCCAATGAGAAAACAAGCACAGCAACTGAGGGTACAATAGAAGAAATAAGGATGGCCAGAACCAGTGCCCACACTACCATCCCTGCCAACAGATAAGCCAGGCCCAGATCCACAACCCTGCCCTGTACCCCAAGAACAGACCTGCAGCCTTTTCGATCTGTACTACCCAGAGATGGGTATTTCTTGGCAAAGGGTGACAAGGAATAGATATTTGCTCCTTCCTCAGTGCCCCCCTACTCCCTCAGCTGCTTCCCAAGAGCGACTCTCTCTCTCTCAGCACTGGCCGTTGCGGTCACTTGGGGAGTGAAACATCAGATGGAAGATCTTCCTCTGTCTCCCCTCCTCTCTATCTGACTTTGCAATAAAAAATAAATAAATCTTTAACAACAACAATTTAAAAAAAAGTAACTTAAAAATCCCCAGCAATTAGAAAACACTGATTTTCTTTTTTTTTTTTTTTAAGATTTATTAATTTATTGGAAAGTCAGATATACAGAGAGGAATCTTCCGTCTGATGATTCACTCCCCAAGTGTGTGCAACGGCTGATGCTATGCGCCAATCCGAAGCCAGGATCCAGGAACTTCTTCCGAGTCTCCCACACGGGTGCAGGGTCCCAAAGCTTTAGGCCGTCCTCGACTGCTTTTCCAGGCCACAAGCAGGGAGCTGGGTGGGAAGTGGGGCAGCCAGGATTAGAACCGGTGCCCATATGGGATCCCGGGGCGTTCAAGGCGAGGACTTTAGCCACTAGGCCACGCCACCAGGCCCAAGAACACTGATTTTCTACAATAATTTTCAATGGATATATTTAGATTTCAGAGTCAGGGCGGTATTTGCCACTTGGGAAACCCACATCCCCATACTGGAGTGCCTGGGTTTGATTCCTGGTTCCTCTTCTGATTCCAGCTCCTGGCTAACATGCACCCTGCAAGGTAACAGGCCCAAGTACTTGAATCTCCACTAGTCACAGGGCAGGCCCAGGTTGAGTTCCAGGCTCCAGGCTTGGCCTGGTCCAACACTGGATGCTGAATGTTTTTGCAGAGTGAACTTATAAGGAAGATCTCTTTCTCTGTGTCTTTCAAATATTTCAAACCTTTCTAAATGACAACATGTCAGGGTTCTCTATCATACTTAAAGTGTTTTATTTTGCACAGGCTACCTCAAAGTGTTTATAATTGCACCCGGAACTCCAATGTAGGCTCCAGTCATTAGAGCCACTAACAGTGAACCAAAGGATGGTAGATGAATCTCTGTCTTTCTGTAACTCTGCCTTTCAAATAAATAAGTAAGTCTTCAAAACAAAACAAAAACACTGATATGTTCTCACTTGCTGGATGCCAACCAGTGGCTTCTCATGCTTTTAACAGCATCTTTTTTGGCTAAAGAAGCCAAAACTGTCTTACTAGCTTCCACCCTCCTCCAACTGCTAACAATCTCAAGGGAATTCCATCTTGGAATAACCTACAGGATACAACAAGGCTTAACAACAAAGATTTAGGAAACACAATTGTTTTCAGAGTTTTGGTCAAAACAAGGCCGCCTCAAAGCCTTCCCTCCCTCCCCCTTCATCTACATGGAAAGTAAGATCGATACCAAACACAGAACCTCGCGGATCACAGAGGCCTCAGGCTGCCCAATGCAGCTCCTGGTCTGAGTGCTGAGTCCCCCACCTCTGAGAATCCTCCCTAGCTAAGCAGGCTCTGACTACGAGGAAGTTCTTTCTTAAATCACCCACAAGCTGGCATCCTACACTCTGTCTGAGGCCATACAAAACAAACCTAAATACTTCTTCCAGGTAACACTTGAATATAGCATGTCTAGAGATAGTTATAATAACCATCTCCTGAGCATTCACTATGTTGCAGGCACTACGTAAGCTTATGCAATTCTTCCAGCAACCCAACGAAGTTATCATATCCCACTTTGTAGCTGAGGTCTAGGACTTGGCAAGGCAGGTGGATAATCCACCCAAATGCACAGAGCTTGAGATTCAGAACCCAAATTGCCTTCAGGATGCCCTCCATGTGTCTTTTCTTCCAGGGTGCCTGCATTGAGCCCACCCAGCTTCCCACTCCATCAAGGCTTCTCAGTGGTGCGCTCTGCCACTAACCCCCACATGTCCCCCTGACCCTCAGTTTGCCTCTCTCCATGCTTTCTCAGTACTCCTTCCTCCACAGACTCTCCTGAGGCTACCACTAACAAGAACTGAGGCCACAGTCCACTTGTCCACACCTGAATGTGTCCAGCATCTCTGGGCTCAGCAACCACTCCTCTTTCTTCTCTCTACATCTTACAGCAGCTCCCACATAGGGCTGCGATTTCAGAGCAAGTGTTAGCTCTGAGGTTCAACCTAGACTCTAAGACCTGAGCAGCTGAGACCCATAGGGTTTGAAACACATATGGCACACTTTGAGGTACGATGGTTTCAATGGAGAACAAGACAATAGGTTAGTCCCACATAGGTGACAGTACAGAGGCTGCCATCACTGCCCTCTGTGTCCCTACTCACCTGATAATAAGCACCAGCAGCATTGGCATCGCCGTATGTGGAAAACTGATTGTAGCTGTAGTCGTCCCCAGGCTTAGGCACCCAAGGGGCCCCACTCGAGCCTGCTGCCATCTTGAATTCAAGGGGGGCATTGGCTGCATCGTCCTGGAAAGCAGGCTCCGGCTCCGTGCCTGGGGGCAGCTCTTCAGGGACAGTAGGGAGAGGGTAAGGGTATGGCTCGACTCCCGGTAGCTCTGCCTTGTCAGGGAGGGAGAAAAAGTTCTCGGGGGCTACTTCCTCATCACTGTCATCCTCCTCCTGCGTGATCTGCTTTGTCACCTGCAGGGCAGCACTCTTGGCAGCAGCCTTGATGGCAGAGGGTGACGGAGTGGTGGTTGTAGTGCCCACGACAGGGGCAAGTGGGGAAGGCTTGGTCTTGGGAGCCGGTCTGGAGGGCTTGGTCTCAGAGGAGCCCTCTGAAGGTTTCCGGGAGAAGGCGTGGGGTAGGAGCAACCTGTTAGTCTCTTTCACAGTCAAGTTTTTAGGTTGAGGAAGCAAGGCAGACAACCCAGTCCCCTCGCCGGATCCCTGAGGAGCCCAGGCATGGACAGGAGGGAAAAAAGATGACAAGGAGAATTTTACATTAGGGACCAGTGACACAGCAAACAGGAATTACAGGTACACATTCCAGTCTAAAATCTCACCAGCCCTTGTTCTAGTCATCTAATCTACACCTGACTGCCCTGACCTCTGGCCCTACTATAGGCTCCATCTCCCATGGTGAGATACCACTCCCTTTCCCTGCCTGTCCCCAGCCCAGCTCCACTGCACTCAGCAGCAGTGCCTTCCCTAGCTCTGGGTATTCAGCAAACCCCTTGACCTTCATCTGGTATCATTCCCTTCCCCCTCAGAGCCCAGGTCTGTCTCCAGCCTATTCCTTTCACCATGCCCAGAGGGGCCTCCTAATGTGAGAAGTCAGTCATCCTTTGACTGCCACCCAAAGTCAAGAACAAAGTGTCCAAAAGAAACATTCATGTCAGGTGCCAGAAGGCCTCTCCCTGCCCGAGGAAAGCCCTGCGGATGTGGGACATGAGCTTGTTGGTGCCAGTTAGACACTCAACTTACTGAGATCTAAGCTAACTGGCCTAGCCACCCAGAACCCCCGACTATCTGCAAGAACCTCTTAGACTCCACTCTCTGCATGTTCAAAGGCCAGTCTGATCTAACCAGAGGGTGAAGGGGTGACAACTGGCACCTGGAGTCACTGTCCTAGAGGACCAGTGTGCCTCAGTCCTCAGGCAAGCGCCCTGAACGACTAGAGCAAGCTAGAGTCAAGCACAAGGCAAGAGGACTAACAAAGGCGAACAGTGGGTTCCTCTGCTGCCGGCTGTGTGCATGTGTCTGGGTCACTGGAGCCTGTGGGGCACAGGTAGAATATATCCTCAGGCGATCCCTGAAGCATTCAACCTCCCTCTGCAGGGCAGGGTCCCCAGAGTGCTTTAGCAACCTATGCTGCTGCCTCTACCCACTCACATCTTCCTGTGCTATACAAACCTGTTGTTGTCACAGAGGGTGCCTTCTGAGCCAGTCCACCTCCTCCAGAAGGCTGTCTTGGCAACAGAAGAATCGATTGGCTTTGCTGGGTCCCAGCTTGGCAGCTTCTGCCACAACTCCTTCATCACCCTCACTGTCAGCCACTGTCACCCACATCACTCACCCTTGCCAGCTGTTTCTAACTCCCAAGCAAGTGTGCCCACTTGAGACCTCTGCCTTGGTAGCTAGGGGATGGGGCAGTTTCAGCAACGCAGGTCCAAACCTTGGGACAACAACCTTATTTGCTTTTCCTTCTCCACATGAGGTCAGAGTCATCAAGTTTAGGCACAAAAGAGAGAGAAACTTCTGGGGACCTGAATGAAAGATCCTGGGACGAGGGAAAGCACAAACCAGCAGCAAGACCATCACCCATGGCATTATTCAGGGGGATGGGGCGCCCCATCTTGATCACAGAGCAGCAGCCGAGAGGGATAAGGCACAGCTCAAGTGCAGTAGGAAACGCTTCCTGAAGATTCTGACTCCCAACTCCGGCCTTCTCAGTGGCCTGAGCTCATGGTTTTGTTCATGTGGAAAACAGGAATAAAAATAGTACTACATGGGCACTATTGTGAGGACCAAGTCAGTTACATACTGCTGAAGCACTGAGAACAGTGCCTGGTAACACTAAGTGCTATTTAAGAATGTATTTCCCAAGGCAAAAGTGAAACAAGGGGAAAGTGGACAACACTGGTGCTAGTGAAATATGGACGCTTCCTGACAGCATTTCCATCTAGCCATTTCCCTTTTGTCCCTAAAATACTCCTTCTACCAAAATGCCATGAACTGAACTGAGTCCTGATCCATCTCCCTGCCACTGCCTGTCTTCTGGTAGAGATGACACCATTACGTCAAAGCTACAACACTGAGAAGAGACACGCAAGAAACAGCAAACCAGACCCACTCGGCTCTCAAATACTTGCTCTCGGGCTGATGTGAGAACTGCTGGGTGCTCCGAGTCCTGTCTTCAGCAAACAATGTGGGGAAGACAAGATCTGGCTGCAGTTATGTCACAAAGCTTACCTGAAGGACAACTTTCTTCTTTGTGGGTTCATCTTCCTCAGAATCTGACTAAGAGAAAGAGAAATGGAATAAGGACTCACCATTTTAAGATAGCGGGAGAAACACACACAATGAACCACACAAACATAAAGGGGCTATCTGTGCAGTCACCCTGTGCAGAGATGCGCCCATTCTGGGCCCAGCCAAACAGTGGGGCCTCTTTCCTGGTCACCAACGCTGCTGAGAACAGTGCCCAGCTTGCTATCCCACGGTCACTCATTCCCATCCCCCTGGACTCAGTACATAGTCTGTTTGGTGTCAATTTCTAATCTGTTAAATTAAGACTATTTCCGCCCATTTGGTCCTTGGTGGGAAGAAAAGGCTATACCCATTTTTCTTCCTATAAATCTGTCCACTAGAAGATGAATAGTATTTGGCCCACAATCTCACCCAATCTCGGCTTCACTTTTAAAACCACTTATACAGACTGCATAACCACAGGGCTGGGGCGCTCCGGTGGGATTAAGTGGTGTGTTAACTACACTTCTATGAGGCATTAAAGGTCAAAGCCTTTGGAGAGATCCATTCCCTCTGCAAGAATGATCTATTGTCTGCCAGACAGAGCTGCTCACCGTCGGGAAGGCAGGCAAATGACAACGGAGAGGATTTGAGGCGAGACAGGAGGTCACAGTGTTGTCCCTCTGATACAACAGGGTTGTTTCAAAGTCATCAAGCTGGAAACAGTCTAAACTTTAAGCTCAATACAATTCCTTAGTGTTGTGGTATAACAGGTAAAGCAGCCACCTGTAATAGTAGCATCCCTCAGCAGCACCAACTCATGTTCCAGCTGTTGCACTTCAGATTCAGCTCCCTGATAATAGCCTGAGAGAGCAGAAGATGGCCCAAGTGGCTAGGCCCCTGCTACCCACATGGGAGACATGATGGAGCTCCTGAATTCAACCAGGCTCAACCCTGGCTTTTGTGGCTATCTGAAGAGTGAACCAGAACATGGAAGCAAAACAAAGCTCTTGAAGTTTTCCATTTGTCCACTTCCTAAGAGCTGGGCTGAAGCCAAAACTCTGGAGCTTTATCTGAGTCTCTCACATGGGTGGCAGGAACTGAAGCACTTAGGCCATTTTCTGTTACTTCCCCAGACACATTAACAGGGAGCTAGAACAAAGTGAAACCATCCTTTTAACAAAAGCCTATGCCAGCTTTAACCATCTGTGCCATAGTGGTCCCCCACCCCCTGGCCAAGTCCTGATATAGGTGATCATGCAGGAATCTAACAGCCTGATCACCTAGATTCTTTTTTTTTTTTTCTAAAACCCGCGTGAGAGACCTGGAAGAGGCTCCTGGCTCCTGGCCTTGAATCAGCACCACTTCAGGGGTTGCAACTACTTGGACAGTGAACCACAGGATGGAAGATCTTTCTCTTTGTATCTCTTTCTCTCTGTAAATCTGATTTTCCAATTAAAAAAGAAAAGAAAGAAAGAAAACAGAAAAGCAAACTACAACAGAGAGCTATCATCTGCCTTAGCAAGCCCAGCACTGAGGATTTACCCAGAAGACGTGAACTCGGCACACTGTGGGATAGCTGCACTCCCATGTTCGCCAAAGCACTGCTCACCACAAATAGAATACGCAGCTAACCTAAGAACCCACTGCCAGGTGAATGGATAAAGAAAATATGACCTGTGGGCCCGACGCAGTGGCACAGTGGTTAAAGTCCGAGCCCTGAATGTGCCGGGATCCCATATGGGCGCCGGTTCTAATCCCGGCAGCCCTACTTCCCATCTAGCTTCCTGCTTGTGGCCTGGGAATGCAGTCAAGGACAGCCCAAAGCCTTGGGACCCTGAACCTGCGTGGGAGACCTGGAAGAGGCTCCTGGATCCTGGCTTCAGATTAGCTCAGCTCTGACTGTTATGGCCACTTGGGGAGTGAATCAGCAGATGGAAGATCATTTTCTCTATATCTCCTTCTCTCTGTAAATCTGACCTTCCAAATAAAAAAAAACTTGATTAAAAAAAAGAAGAAAATGTGACCTACACACACTCCCACCCCCAGCAACATTCAACCTGAAAAAAGAAGGAAATATTGTCAATTGTGATATGAATGGAATTAGAAACATTATACTAAATGGAATAATCCAGGCATACAAAGACAAACACTGCCTATTCTCATCCCGAAGTCCCAAACAAGGCATCTCATAGAAGCAGAGAGAATGAGGCTGGCAGGGCTGGGGGGGAGATGACAGTCACAGGTCCACAGGGCAGTCTCGGGCAGGCAGGAGGAGTCTGTCTTGTGACAGTCACTGCACAACACTTCATCCCCCACATTTAGGTACCCAGACTGCCTGCCCTTATCGGCTTCTAGATGTATATTTGGCAACAGTTAGGAATGGAAAACACTGCCCCCCGACCACGGACTGGCAGCATTCCACTACAAGGAACAGTTCTTGCTGTCACAGTAAAGGCAGAAGTACACATGTGGTGAACCTAGCAGTTACACAACAGGCACAAATGAGTCAGAATTAGTAGGACATCATCCACCAAAGATGGGTGATGTTGGGACATCAGGTTGGAAAAGGGCATGTTTAAATTTCAACAGGCTCAGTCCAACACAATGGCTCAATAGCTAAATCCTCACCTTATAAACGCCAGCATCACATACAGGCACCAGTTCATGCCTCAGCTGGGCCACTTCTATTCCAGCTCCCTGCTTATGGCCTGGAAAGGCAGTAGAAGATGGCCGAAGGCCTCAGGACCCTACACCTGCATGGGATACCCGGAAAAAGCTCCTGGCTTCAGATCGGCTCAGCTCCAATCATTCATGGCCATTCAGGGAGTGAACCAGAAGATGGAATATCTTTCTCTCTGTCTCTCTTCCTCTACATAATTCTACCTTTCCAATAAAAATAAGTAAATCTTTATACTCCCACACGTTACAGAATAGGTGTTGTGACATGGTGGAGTTGAGTTGTCCCTTACAACATCAGCGTCGCATCTAACATCCCATATTGGAGTGGCAGTTCCAGTCTTGGCTGCTCCATTTTCAATTTATCTCTCTGCTAACATGCCTGGGAAGGCAGCAGATGATGATTCAGATTCAAGTAATTGTATTCCTGCCACCCATGTGGGAAACTTGGATGGAGGCTTTGCTTATCTTCACTCTGACCCACCCTGACTATTGTGGTTATTTGCGGAATGAACTAGCAGATGTTAAGATCCATGTAGCTGTGCCCTTCATTGTAAAGTGAAAGTGGCCACAACAGCCAGAACTGAGCCGATTCAAAGCCAGGAGCAGGAGCTTCTTCTAGGTCTCCCACGTGCGTGCAGTGGAGAAGTGGCCATCTTCCACAGTTCTCTCAGGCCACAGGCATGGAGCTGGATGAGAAGTGGAGCAGCCGGGACATGAACAGACACCCATATGGGATCTCGGCACTGCAAGGCGAAGATTTAGCAACTGAACCATCACGCTGGCCGTAAAAAAAAAAAAAAAAAATTTAACAAGTTAGGTGACAGGTCCAACGGCAGCAATCTGGTAATAAGTTTTATCCAAAGTTGAGTTAATCTTTATAAAATTGTACATGTTTCTCTTTCAGCTGTCATATCCTGTGACAAACGAAAAGCAGGACTGTGTGGTGTGGCAAACTGTCCTATGGCTAATAGGATTGAAGACCAGATCAACCGGGGGAAGAAAATTCAATTTTTCTGTAAATGTCACAGGCAAAGACTATTTCCATTATACCGACAATCTGAATTTGAGAGCAGGAGAAGAAAATCTGTAGGAAGACTTTGAATACCCTATTATTTCTGGATTCAGAGGATTGCCATGACAACTCACAAGTCTCCTTTCCTTGTGCATTTTATACTAAACTTCTACTGAACCACATTTTAAGCCATGGCATAACCCAACTACGTATGAAGAGTCTCTTAAAACAAATGCTAAAGGAATTTAGAAATGTGCTGGGATCAGGGCCCAGCACCGTGGCCTAGTGGCTAAAATCCTTGCCTCGAACGCCCCGGGATCCCATATGGACGCTGGTTCTATCCCGACAGTCCCACTTCCCATCCAGCTCCCTGCTTGTGGCCTGGGAAAGCAGTCAAGGACGGCCCAAGGCCTTGGGACCCTGCACCCACATGGGAGACCCAGAAGAGGTTCCTGGTTCCCAGCTTCAGATCAGCGCAGCACTGACCATTGTGCTCACTTGGGGAGTGAATCATCGGACGGAAGATCTTCCTCTCTGTCTCTCCTCCTCTCTGTATATCTTTGTAATAAAAATAAATAAAATTAAAAAAAAAAAAAAAGAAATGTGCTGGGCTTGAAGTCATTGTTACTCATCTCTAAGGGAGGAGCAAGAGCAAGTCCTTACTTCTTCAAGCTGAGCAGCAGGGTTCTAAAATACCCAATAATCTACTTGTGGCCAGAGAAAGCCAAGGGAGGAGGAGAGTGGGCAAACAGGAGGACATGCCCCTCGTATTAACTTCAACCAGCTGCATCATCTACTCAAAATGCTTCTGGACGCCTTTCCAACAAAAATAAATACATTAAAAAAAAAAAAAAAAAAGGAGGGGAACAGTGCATGGGCTCAAATGACTAATCCTCTGCCTACAAGTGCCAGCATCCATATGGGCACCAGTTTGTGCTCCAGCTGCTCCACTTCCAATCTAGCTCCCTGCTTATGTCCTGGGAAAGCAGCAGAGGATGGCCCATAGTCTTTGGACCCTGCACCCATGAAGGAGATCAGAAGTTCTAGCTCCTGGGCCTGGTGCAACAGCATATTGGTTAAAAGTCCTCGCCTCGAATGCGCCAGGATCCCATATGGGCGCCAGTTCTATCCCGACAGCCCTGCTTCCCATCCAGCTCCCTGCTTGTGGCCTGGGAATGCAGTTGAGGACAGCCCAAAGCCTTGGAATCCTGCACCTGTGTGGGAAACCCAGAAGTTGTTCCTGGCTCCTGGCTTTGGATTAGCTCAGCACCGGCTGTTGCGGGCGCTTGGGGAGTGAATCATTGGACTGAAGCTCATTCTGTCTCTCCTCCTCTCTGTATATCTTTATATCTGCCTT